TGTGATTAAATTGAGATTTCTCAAATTCGGGAGATGTTTTTGGTATTATGAAGGTCATTTGTCATTTTTCTGTCATTTTCCCCCAATATTTGGATAAATCTCAAATTGAAGATAATAACATGGACCACATTCTTCTTTAAAATTGAATCTTATAAGCAAAACAGGAGAAGGAAGCTCTCCTCCGGTTCTTAATATATGACCCAATTATTGAATTAGTTTTGGTCTTAAACATAAGACCTATTTCTCATATTTATCAATTTTTTTTAAATTACCCCTATGGATACTCCATCAACCATAGTCAAGTAGAAGAGAAAGATGGGGTATTAATAAAGATGATTATGGTATTTTAAAAAAAACATGTCACATTTTTTATAATTAACTAACTTACCTAACTTCTTTAATTTAATCAAATTAATTAAACGAGTCTTATATTAAAGATTGGAGGAGTATTAGTAACTATTGTGAGTCTGTGACCCAAATTTTCTTAACTATAAACTTTGAAACAACATAACAATAATTCAGGGTTGGCAATTCTACTTCTCTCTTGCTGGTCAAAGGGAAAAAAGCTTTATACTGACTCAATATATTCTTGCCCATATTTAACGTCTCCACGCCATCTTCATGCTATTGAGCAATAATAATCTATTATCATTGCATAATATTTAAATAAATGAGACTTTGTCGGAAGTTTATACTGCATCTTATCACTATCATTTTTCTGACAAGCGGACTTAAATTCTATGTGCTATTTACCCTGGATATCACCTATCTAAGTTACCTATAGATAAGCTGCTTCGCTATTATCTTAATACTCCTCCGATCTTTAATATAAGACCTATTTAACTAATTTGATTAGATTAAAGAAGTTAGTTAAATTATAAGAAAAGTGATTCATTTTTTCTAAAACACCATAATCATCTTAATACCCTCTCTCCCTTTTCTACTTGATTATGATTGAGGGAGTATCTATAGGGATAATTTAAAAAAAATGATAAGTATGAAAAATGGGTTTTATATTTAGGATCAAAACCAATTCAAGAATTGAGTTTTATATTAAGAATCGGAGGATTATTACATAACTAGAGTGATCATGAATAGAGTTTAATATGAGATTCAGATCTCATTTATTCATTTATTTTTATTGTTTTTGACACCGTGAAGGGACCTCAGGCACTTATTTTATTTATGTACGGTTAAACACATAACCTGAGAGTAATACTCGCTGCAAAAGGTTTGTAAGTTTAATACTTATGACCTGATAGAGATAAACCTCAAATTCAAAATGACTTGAGTGTATTTTGAATTTGCACAAAAAAAGTTTTTATATAAGTTAAAACAAAATTTTACTCACATATTTATTTTGTATTATATTAATTATAATTAAAAAATTGTTTGTAAGTCGTTTAAGTAAGTCATGGGTGTGAGAAGAATCAAACAGTTTTGACCAACTCTCATTTATTTAATATTGCAGGGCATGACAGCCAATACAATGGGAAAATTTAATTTTCTTGACCTCGTGTGAAAATTTTTAAAGAATTAGTGCTACAAGTAATATTTATGTTTTTTTTTTGGTTACTACAAGTAATATTTATGTTGATTTTGAATGTTTTCATCTGTCTAGAGTATTGAACAATTTTATTGCAAGATGATAAGATAATTGAATAAATTATCCCCTGACTTGATTCCTTAAAGCAAAACATTCACAACTCACAAGTAAACTGAAAATTTTAAAAAAAGCCGAAATGGTTGCCAGCATCTTACGTTGAAATTCAACATATTTTTATTTAAGGACGCAACGTTAACAGGAGGGTTTGTTTTTGAATGTCAATATATATATGTTCAACACGTGTATGCACTGAATTTATTAAAATCTAAGAGCCCGTAAAAACGGTAATACCTGTGGGAAAGTGAAATTAAAAAGTCACAATTCAAACAATTTATTTATTTATTTGTAGGAATGAGTTAACATCACGACCGAACCATACGTGCATGAGTATATGATTTTCTTTTTCTTTCTGGACACGAATTTTGGCAAATATTCACCAAATGACCAAACGTAAATATCTTCAGGTTACGTCAAACAAATCTGATCATGTCGGCATTCAAATTCATCATCTCTAGAATCATCTTCGGATCAACAACTTCATTTTTTCTTCTCATCCAAGAAAAAAATAAAAACAAAAATCATTCTACTGATATGTATAGTTTTTTCCTTCAATCTTTAATTTAGTATTTGTGTATTTTTTTCTTGATTAAATATTTTAATTTTGCTCTACTGACATCGCTGCAGGAGTTAACAGTGTTAACAGGACAAAACTAGAATGTTTAGTTAAGAGATAAAAAGACATAAATACCAAGTTTAAAATTGAAGAAACTATAAATACTCACAAAAAAGATTTTTTTAAAAAAATGATAGGTATTTTATATTAGATTTAGTCTCCTTATCAGACACATTTTTGCTCTAATTATTGTCTACATGACTTCTTTCTTATGATACGGCTATAATCTTACACTATCATTCTAATTCCAGTGTCCTTGCCCCCATATTGTATTGTACTATATATATGTGTGTAATATGATATAAAAAATATGTATAAACTCCACCCAAGGGCTGGTAAAAAAAAAAAAAACTCCACCCAAGGTCAAGCTCAGAATTTTAAAAAGTAAATTGAAATTCTTCAACCTTTTTTGGTCTCTCTGTTTTGTGTGTGTGTGTGTGTGTGTGTGTGTGTCAACGCATGCAAACTCATGGAAGCTTTTGAAAAGAGGCAAAAAGAAAGAGGGAAAGTGAAAAAAGAAAAGCAGGAAAGAGTTTTTCATATGTTTTTTTTTTTTGGACTGAAAGTTTTTCATATGTATATTTGGATATAATAATTTTTGGGGGAGGGAGGGAGCAGTTGAGGATTACGTAGAGGCGTAAGCCACGGGTCTCTGTATATGGGAATCAACGATGAAGGGGTAATATTAGTCCCACCTGTTCTTCATATGCCCACGCATCTCTTTTCTTATGTGTCTCCTCTTGTACCACTCCTTCTCCTTTCAATTCCCATGAGGTCCAAGAAGGGGGAAAAAAATCTTTGAATTCCAATCATTTCATAAATAAACAAGTTCTTGTTCTTTTTCCAGGTATCAGTCTTGTATCATAATACTCTTCAGTCTTTAATATAGGACTCAATTCTTGAGTTGGTTTTAATTCTAAATATAAGACCTGTTTTTCATATTTATTAATTTTCTCTAAATTACCCCTATACATACTCCCTCAACCATAATCAAGTAGAAGAGGAAGATGGGGTATATTAAGAAAAATGATTATGGTGTTTTAGGAAAAGTGTGTCACTTTTCTTATAATTAACTAACTTACCTAACTTCCTTAATTTAATCAAATTAGTTAAATGGATATTATATTAAGGACCGGAAAAGTACTCCTGGTTCTAATTATAAATCCTTATTTCTAATCTTAAATGTTAGTAAATCGTACTATTTCTGGTTCTAATTATAAGACTTTATTTGTAGTCTTATGATTAGAACCAGAGGTAGTACTGTCTACAAAAATCTAATTTGTAATGCAAATTATATAATAAATTAGATTTTATATTTAAGATCGGAGGTAGTATTTAAAAGATGACTGTTATGTTTCTTTTTCCTCCTATTAAACCAGTCAGTATTATGGGCCAGTCTCCTAATTAAAGACTTCATCCAGACTGAGCCGGATATACATTATCTCGTGCGGCAATTTTTCCTATCTATGCTGTCTTATTTTCAAGTTTAAACTTGATTCTTCTAGTTAAGCGGATACAAATCTCTTACCAATTGAACTGAGTCTACTTACTAGGAAGTAGAACATTTTGAAAATTTGGATTATACTCCTCCAGTTTTTTCTTAATTAAGTAAGTTAATTAATTATAAGAAATATGATATGTTTTTTCCTAAAATACTATAATCATCTTCTTTAATATCCTTTTTCCTTCTTCTACTTGATTATGGTTAAGAGAATATCTAAAGGTAATTTAAAAAAAATAATAAATATAAAAAATATGTCTTATATTTAATACCAAAATCATCTAAATAATTAGATTTTGTATTAATAACAAGATGGGTACCTACTTATTGGATGCATGAATTAGTAAACTGGACAATAATTTGCTTTACAACACATTATAAATTGACTCGTTGAAAACAAATCCATCAACTCTGATACAGAACTTTCATCAGAAAAATTGAGATGTGATTAAGAAGTTGCTTGAACTGCTTGGTTTTGGAAAGCAAAGAACGGGTCCATAGACATATGAACACAAGTTGAATTCAAGCGCTGACAAAAAAAAAAAAAAAAAGCCACAACACGACAAAATCCTCCCAAAAAGCAACTATTATGGATTGATGTGTAAATTGCAAACTAAACCAGCTCATAAACATACTTTTAATGGTTAAAGTTTAAACTCAGCACACTTAAATGCATAATTAAATAGCGCAATAAGTTCATAAAATTTTAAAGTGGGTACGTATTTTGATGTTAGTACGTAGTTGATTGATTGAATTCCCAATATTTAATTTCATACCGTACGATCTTCTCATTGTTACGTCATTAATTAGTAATAATTTGACCTATTTATCTATGCCCTTCTATGATCTTTGTCATGAAGACTATTTTAGGAGGATATATACTATTTAATAGTACACAAATGAGAGAGAAAGGTTGGACTTTTTTTTTTTCCCCCTCCCCGCTTAACAGTGCTAACCAATTCAACCGTAAAGTGGATTAATAAGTGAATGGAGTTTCGTTTGACTAGTAGGGATTTACTAAAAAGATAATCAAAGATTAAAACTTTAAGTCATTTTCACGCTCTGATCTGAATAATAAAGAAGCGAGCATGTCTGGGACTGCGTGCAGCGACGGGGAGGGTGCATTGTAGAGAGCTGCCTAGCGTGTGTCAAACACACCCTACCCTCCAAGCACGCTTTGGTCTTTTGCTTGTTCTCCTCAACAACCCAACGTCTCTCTCTCTCTCTCTCTCAGTCTCTCTCAGGTTGCGTGCGTTGTGTCCTAATTCCCCCATTTCCTGTTTTGGGTTCTTTAGGCAACACGAATCTCTCTGTTTTATCATTCTCTCTTCCTCTTTTTCCCATTTGGAGGACCAGAAGAGAAAGGAGAACCGAGAACCCATTCTCAGAGAGAGACTGCAAACAAAAAAATAAAAGTGCTTTTTTTTTTTTTGAAAAAGTAGAAAAGCGACAAATAGTTGCTATTATAGTTCCCTCCCTCTATATCTTTGCTTTTTCAAGGTTTTTATTCTTCTTGTTTCTCCTTTCCCTTGGTGGGGTTCCCCTTTGAGCTTGCTATAATGTTGTGTCCTCCTCGTTCTCTGGTTTAAAGCTCCCTCTGATCTGGCTTCTGGGTTTCCTTTCCTTTTCTTATACTGTATCCACAACCGCTTCTTATCATAGGTTCAGCTACTTTTCCTATACATAACCTCTTCCTTTGACTATTTCACGGATTTGAGCAGCGTTTAGGTCCATAAGGTATGTGAAGTGAACGAACTCCGTCATTTTTATGTCACCATTTTTTCTTCTTTTGCCGTCTCTGTGTGTGTGTGTGTGTTTTAATACACCCTTTTGCTATGTTTGCTTTTACTAGTGGGATTCCTCGACTTTCTAGCGCGTAGCTGACGATTGAAACGAACAAGGTGATTTTCCATCTGGGTTTCTTGCTGTAGTGTGGAAAAAGATGAATGGTAGGTCAAGAAACGAGGAGGTGTCTCCTCAGCTGCTGGATTTGATCCCAACCGACCGAGAGTGGCATGAAAACAGAGACGAAGAAAGAAGCCACCGCAAGTCTTCAGAAGAGAGGAAACTTGAGCTTAGACTTGCTCCACCCGGTGAAGAAGACGACGTGGCCAGAGGAAGAGACGAATCTCTGCTCTCTCTTGGCTACTTCTCAGCTCCCATTAATGGAGGCCGCGCCCAGAAAACTGCGTCTTCTCCTTGGGCTTCTTCTGCGGGCTTCCAGGAAAAGAAGACTCAGACCATTAATCAACACAGGGGGGTTTCATCATCATTCCTACAGTCTCAACCCTCTCCTGCAAATACAGCTGTACCCAACAGCTCTCAGAAAAGGTAATCTAAACTTTTTCATATCTATTGTATCTATTATTATTTTTTTTGGAAGCTTTTAGACAGGATATTCACTTGCAGAGTCACGTTGTTTCGTATTTTGTGGTCCATGCAAAGCTGTGGTTTTTCCCCCCCTTTACCGTACAATTGATTCAACATTTAAGCTTTGTAACTCTGTTTCATTTCACCCCTACCCCCACTTTTTGCTCTATTCTGTTAAAGAATCAACCTTAATAATTTCAATATTAGTTACTGCTCATATGCTTTTCCATATCGTTTGTATGATTTCATTGTTAAGCGTTGGTCCCTTTGTACCCCATGCTTCTCCTCTTTGCTGGCTGTTTTTTGTTCTGTCATATACTTTCTTGCCATGTATCCTTCAGAGATGTCTACATCTGATTCCTGATGCTACCTGTCATTTATTATGTGCCTTCATTATCTAGTCCTTCTTGAAATTTGATATAGGCATGTGAAAATCTGATCCTGTCCCTCCTCTCTGATTCGTCTCAGTTTTTCAAAACGAAACAATAAATAACTTGAGTAATTATTCTCAGGGTGCTTGCTTTTTTTTTTTTTTTAAATTGTCCCGGATAATTTTAACTTTAATGTTTCACTCCTTATTTATTTACTGTTCATATTCACGCCTAACTTTCATTAATGAATCAAAGCAGAACTGCTCCTGGTCCAGTAGTGGGGTGGCCTCCGATTCGTTCATTTAGGAAGAACCTTGCAAGCAGCAGTTCTTCTAAAGTTGCCCCTCAACACGAATCTCAGAATCAGCATGTGGTTGAAGATAAGGTTGCTGGGAAGAAACCTGTGGCTGACAACAACGTTGTTGGTGGTAAAGGCCTATTTGTGAAAATCAATATGGATGGAGTTCCCATAGGCAGAAAAGTGGACCTTAATGCTTACGATAGCTATGAAAAACTCTCCTCTGCTGTTGACGAGCTCTTTAGAGGCCTCCTTGCTGGTTGGCTCTCTTCCTTCCTTCAATTTTTTTTTTAATTTTTTTGGGTTCAAGTTCAATTATTGTGCCGACACAGTCAAATTAATCACTCTAGTCTATTCATTAATAGTTGATAAGTTGTTCGGTCTTGAATTGGACTGATTTGAAATTGGATTCCATTTCCATTTACAAAAAATATGAGTAAATTAAGCCAAGCTGAAATGAATATACACGCAAGCATGTCATGTACACTTATTTCTTTTTTATATCAGTGAGACTTGTGATTTGCAATAGTGATTCAACATTTAATGCTCCGTGTGCATATGTCAACCATGTTCTAGAGCAATAGAATGTAGATTAGCGTATGGTCAATCTTTTCTCACCAAACCAATTATTTAATACAAGCGTTTCAAGTCTATCCCAAAGATTTCAAAGTTTTCCTGCAACATGATTCTAAATGTCTTGTCTTATTTTATTTTTATTTTAATTGCTTTTGTGATGATAGCTGTGAAAGGCGATGCTGAGATCAGGGTTATGTGTTTGTCTTTTTGTGATACTGTTCAGCTCAAAGAGATTCTCGTGGTGGTGGTGGTGGTGGGATTCAGAACAAGCAAGAGGAAGAGAAAGCTATTACAGGTTTATTGGACGGAAGTGGAGAATACACTCTGGTTTATGAGGATAACGAAGGAGACAGGATGCTTGTTGGGGATGTGCCGTGGCAGTAAGAACTTTATTTATTTATTTATTTTATCTGCTGATCTCTGACCTGATGCAGTATTCAAATATTCATGATATGCCAAATCTTATATTTTGTTCTCAAAACTGGAACTTTCATTTACTTTGATTCTTTGCTCTCCACCATTAAAAAATATATTTTCTTTTTCTCCTTAGAACTGTTCAACTATTTGTTCACTTGTGGATGATCTCCAAGCACAACCTGCCATAGCATGTCTGTCCCTCTCACATTGAAATACTACTATTCTAGTATTCTGTACCACTGTCTCCTCACAAAATTACAAGAACTAACTCTTGGGTTTGGCTTTTCCTTTGTTATTATTTTGTTCTTACTAAATGGTTTTTCCTTTATGTGTGTGATTTTGGTAGCATGTTCGTGTCAACAGTGAAGAGGCTTCGTGTTCTGAAGAGTTCTGAGCTCTCTGCTTTTACCCGTAAGTTCTGAACTTCTACAGATATTTGAGAACACAAATCCCTCCTTACACTTGACATCCTAACATTTGTAATCAAAAGAATGATCAAACGTTGTTGTTTTCAGTTGGTGGGAAGCAAGGCAAAACTGCCTCTTGAATGGGCACCAAAATAGAACAAGACGTGGCTGTTTGAGGAGTTCACTGCCGAAACTTGGAAGAGTGTTTTACCATTTTTCCCCTTTGGTGTCCGATGAAGATTAGAGAATGAATTAGTTAGTAGTAGCTTACATTTCAACTGCGAAGTAACGTGTGTGAATCTACTTGTTCATGAAGATTTGAAAATGTTTGTGTACTGTTGAGTAACCATTGACTTGTTTTGGTGTTTGTAACCTTTGTTTGAGTTCCATCTGTACATTCTGTGAATAGGGTGGTCAATTTTGCTTCTCGTTTTGATATGCTCTTGACTGGAGTTTTATCTGAACCACCTTTCACATGTATTAGTTTAAAGATTTCGACTTCAAATTAGCGTCCAACACAGTGATTAAGCTATAAAGGAGATCATAATGAGAGGTGGTGTTGAAAATGGTGCCGCAATTTTCCTTTTAACGAAGCAAAGTTTCAAACTTTGAAGAAAATTGTGTCTGGGGTGCTCCTAATTCACTTATTTAAGTTATGCAATTTGGTCCTGAAGCCACTTCTGTTTCATTTATTGACAGAAGAATAGGAAGTGGTTAATGACAAACCTTCAAGATATTAATATTATATCTTGTTAATGTTATGAGCTGCTTCAATTTGGACTTAGAGCTCCATAACGTCCCACCTGATTTTTTACTTTTATCAAAACGTTGCTCAGTCTAAGCTTGGGCTTAAAGAAACACAAGTCGAACTCATTTTATATTTTAATTTGCTTTTTCGGTGTCGTTTTTTCCAATGCTTAGTCTGGATCGAAGAATCCGAACCCATCAAATTAAATGAACTTTTGACCTCATGAACTGGGGTCTAGCGTGGGCCATGAAGCACACCAGCTTCAATTGTGATTGTGAAGTTCTCTGAGACTTCTCAAACCCTCAAATTCCACTTCCCCAACAACTATGTTTCACATTTTCTTTTCAAGGTTCTTTTTCCACTTTTATCCTAATCTTAGTAAAAGTTAGCTGGGGTGACAGTTACTTTTACAGGCATTAATCCAAACAAGTCCTTAAATGAGCTGCACTCCAATTTACAAACATTCATCACTTAAGTTAAAACAAGCTTCACCATTTAAAAAACAATGGTAAAAGCACTTATAAATCTACCTAGTATTAAGGTTTCCACAATAGTAAAAAGATCAGAACCATGGCACTTAAGGGATATGTGTGAAGATCCTATATTTGTAGAGCCAATCTGAGATAGAAAAGGACAGGCATTAATAAGTGGGGTCTGAGCATAATGGGGACGCCATAGCTAGAGAGTAGTTGAAGTTTTTGAAGAGGTGAAATGTATGTCTCAAAAAGCCACAACTCACGGGGTGAGATAATACCATAAAAGCAAAGTCAAATACTTAGAAAATATCATACGTTTATATTTTCGGCCAATACAAGTATATATATAAGGACCATTAATAAATACAAAGTCATATGGGAGAGAATTGAGAGTTCATTTTCGTTGAGAGGTGCCTAACTTGGACGTCTTTGTGAATTTAATTGTATGGCACTGCTCTTTAATCCATGGACTTCCACGTGGGACCATTTCAACTAACGAAGGCGACCATTGGACAACACTTTTCCTTTTAGTTTGCGTGAGGGAAGCGTGTGTTTCATCCATAGCTCTCTACGGGTTGGTCTTTTTTTTTTTTTACAAACTTCCTTCTTTTCAGCATTTCACAAACCCTTTTTTTTCTTAATAGAAGGAAGAAGTATTTTCAAAGAAGCAATTGGTGCTTTGTAGAAAATTGTGAAACAATGTATCACATGAATTTCCAAAATTGATGCAATATTGTCCAAGTGTAACATAGAACCAACCTTGTTGCCAAAAAAAGAAAGAAAGAAAATATAGATCCAATCTTGACCATCAACAATAATAATAACAGGCTTTATCTCATTAAGTGGGATTAGTACAATCTTTAGATAGATTATTAACTAGAAAATCTCGTTTAATAATTTTATATGGTATCATTCTTAGTCTTATTCTATCCATTTTTAAAGCACTTTATATTGCTTGATTTACCTTTCTCACTATCACATTCAATGACTTTCTTTAAACGTGTCTGAATTATCTTAAATGATTTTCTACCATTATCTCTAAAATAGATGTCGTTCTAACTCTTTCAGGCATATGTCTATACCACTTGGTCAACCAATGTTAACCTTTAATGCAAGCTAATAAACTGTTGATAAGAAATTAGCACTTTAAACATAGCTTTTGTTAACTAGGGATTTATTGTCAAACAAATTTTTTTCAACGCATACTAACAAGTAATGGTCCCTCATTGAGACTGGGAAACAGTGTAATACTCCTTTGGTTCTTAAGAAAAAATTCAATCAACTAATTTGAGTAGACTCAAAATATTAGTTAAATTAGATATATATTTTTTCTAAAATACTATAGGTATCTTTTTTAACTCCTTCCCTCCCTCTCCTATTGAATTATTGTTGAGAAAATTTTAATAGGGTTAATTTGAGGAAAAAATTGATAAATATGGAAAATAAGTCTTACATATAGGACCAACATTAACTGTCTAATTAGATCATATATTAAGAAGAGGAAGAGTATGATATTAATTTTGAAAGATTATGTGTTGTATGCTTTTACAATTTTTTCAGGATATTAATCGTTCCTCACAGAAACTTTTGGGTAGAACTTTAGCCCATATTCTCTAACAAGCCTAGTAGGACCCAATTTGGAAAAATCTACTTGGGTAGGGTTTCAGCCAGCCCATTACATTGCAGCTAATGGGCTCTCTTGGGCCTCAAAGTTTAAAACCCTGCTAGGTTCCATAAATGGGCTTAGCATTTGACTGGATTCGCTTCCTTGAGGCTAATAATACAGTCCAAATTCAGAAAGGAAAACATTTTCACCCATTTTTAAGGCCTAATCGGCAGCGGTGGATTGTTGAAAATAAAAAAGGGAATGTTTTTCAAGTTGCGGACAAAGTGGCAATTAATGATTAGGGATTGATTACCTATATTTTCAATTTAAATTTTAAAAAAGGGGCTAAAAATCCCATCCTGGAGGCTAGCTAATGAAACCCCAAGCTGAAATCAAGAGGGGGCGAATGTTAAAAATGGAATGAATTACCTTTAAGATCCAGAAAATAATGGTGATTGATTAAGCTGTCTTACGGTGGGAGATTAGCAGAATGAAGATTTGATGAATCAAGCAAAGAGAAGAAAAAATAACAATGTCAGGAGACAAACTCACCTATGATCAAGGAACAGACAAACTCAGCTATTAATAGTCCCTCAATTTGCTGCAATCTCAAACCACTCTGCAATATTGAAGATATAATTTAAGATGACGAATCAGCACAGAAAGAGAGAGAGAGAAAAAGCTGCTCTCTCTCACACAAATCACTCTATTCGAAATGGGTTCAAAATGGCTATAAAAAGAGGGGTACGTGATATATTCAGAAGCAAGCATATCGAAGAAAAGAGAGAGAAACTAAAGGGGAAAAATGGCAGAAAGTGTGATGATGAAGAAGAAGAAGATAATGATGGTGGTGGTGGTGATGATTGTGATGGTGGGAGGACAAGTTCAGGCACAATATGGGCCTGATCCTCCTGCTCCTAAAAAACGTCACTGTGTTTCAAGATGTGCTCTTCGATGCTTGTTCAGGCTTAGACTCCAGCCTGTTGCTTACATGCTTTGCTTCAATCTGTGTATGATCAAGTGCAGGTTCTTGCCTCCTCAGTCTGTCTATGATTGCACTTCTGATTGTGCTGATTCCAAGACTCAAAATGCCAATACTGGTATGCGTGTTTCAATCATGTTTAGATCTGATTTGGATTATTATTATTATTATTATTATTATCTAATCAAACTTCGTATTTGATTGATTGATTGATGATGTTGCAGAAGCACAAGATGTGGAAGGCTACGTGGAATCATGTTACGATAATTGCAGGATCAAACAATAATTCTCTTAGCTTCTTTCTTATTATATATTTCATCTTTCATATGATGGATATATATATATATATGTTACGTTGGAAAATGTAGTTGTGTTTTCCTTCAATTTTTAATATAAATAAACAATCTCTTTTCCATCTTCTTTTCTCCTCCTCATTTATTTTACTAACACAACATATTACTGGCTGCCAACGTCTACTCACAGATCATTTTGTACTCAATTGTACACTTAGATCCCCTTTGCTATGAGGCATTGAGAGGTAGAGACAAGGGTTGAGATTGTGAAAGTCCTCTAAAAGAGAGTTTGGTATAAAAGATTACTTCTTACTTGAAACTATGTAAAACATATGAAATTGGGAAATATCATGAGGAGGTGGTATTGTAAATTTTAATGTCGGGATTGAGATTTTTCAAAGCAAAATGCTCTCCCTTCCTTCCAAATAACAAGGGTTCTTTTTAACAACAAGGCTGTCATAATCTTTCTATAATTTACCCAATTAGTTTAAAAATTAAATTAATGCAATCATCTCCTCCGAATATTACTCCATATCAAACATTACTTCAAAATTCAACCCTACTCCTCATCCCAGCTGTCCCACAACCAAATTCATTCTGATTCCCAATCGGACAAAATTGAGACCCACATCCAAATATGGCTGCTATATATATCATTCACATGTATAATGTAATTCTTTTACCAAAAAAAATATATAATGTAATGGAAATTAAGGGTCAATTTAACATAAACTTACAGTATAAAATGGTTTATTTCTTAACATATCAATGATATATCGTCGCCATCCGTATCATAAATATTTTTAAACCCATCAACGTCCTGATATCTGTACCTATCGGTTAACACTCTAATCATTACAGGTTTGTGCTAATTAGCTTAGTTAATATAAACGGATACACCAGTAATAGGTACTTCCCAGTTCCCACAACATAGTGGAGGATTGGGATTTTTGAGTCGTACAGTTACTAGCTAATATCATGGGGGCTAGCTAACAGAAATTTTGACGTGACCCTCAAGTTATAATTATTCTTACTGAACACAGTCCGAAGATAATAAATAACTCTCGGGTAATACAAATTAGAAACCAACTAATTAAGCAATTCTGTTTATCAATTTTGCGGTTCCTTTGCACGTAAAAACTGAAAACCCTACAAAAATGTCATCTGCAGTTCAGAGAAAATAGTCTAAAGCAAGTTTCTTGAAATGGGGCAACTAAAAGGGGTACTTATAAGGATATCTTTCCAAATCATATTTTCTCGTTTTCATGAATCAGACACACACATATGACGGTGATATGTGTGTGTGTGTCCTCTATTAAAGATATTTTAATTTATTAAAACTTCCGATCATGTTTTGTTGACACTAAAAAGCTTGAAGATCACACCTGATCAACTCACGCTACTCATCACATCACAAATTTTACGAACTTCCCAGAAGATAATTCTGGCGTTGAGCCTTCTACTTCACGAAAAGTGCAGAACTGGAAACAAGACTATCATGCAGATTCAACGGCATCAAGTTATTATATGACAGATCCTTAAAATAAGCGAAGAGATTATAAAGTAGGACAACATCTTGGATCAGAATAGGCAAAGATCATTCCCACATCAGCAAATTAATCATCAAAATGTAGATATATATAAAGCAGATTGTACTAATCTTTCAAGATTTGTCGGGCCGGAACAAATTAAATGAAACCCAAATCCTCATAATATATGAATGCACCCAGAAAGAGGCAAATACATAGAACAAATTACATACTTGATTTAACTCGATCCATCGTTTAACAGACTCTATTTTCCTAACAAATCCCAGTAAAGTGAATCTCTCTGCATATATAATAATGGACTCTAAACTGCTGTCTATGAGTATTTAAAGAACATTATGTCTCTGACAAGTCTTCTTCACCATAAATAAACCGCGAAAAACAATCTCATCTGCAACAACACTAACTACTGCTACGTTTTGCAGTTAAAGTTTACATGCCTGGCTTCAGCCTGTGTGCCGACAGCAAGTAAAATTAAAAGATACAGAATCATACGGTGGAACGAATCATGTTTCTAGTGTGCTGCCACGTACGTACCTGCTTGGTCGTGGTTGGATCATCCACCACGGTTGGTGGAGATCTCGAGCTTCCAGTAAAGCCTCTGTATCCATGGAGAATACAGGCAGAAATTCTGACTAAGTCTACTTTCCTTTGGAATAGTAGTGAAGGAAAGAAAAAGAGATCGAGAAGATCAAGAAATAGGGAAATATAGAGAGGTGCTTTTTGAATACTGATGAATCATATTAATGGATCGCCCATTGCCAACCTTTGTTCTTTGACCCAACAATTCTTTGTATATTCTTAGCCAAACTAGTAATGATATGTATGAGTGTAAGTGGGAAGCCTTTCATTTTTCTTTTTCTTTTTGTTTTTGGGGTTATTTTACACACCCACTTGCAAACCATCTCCACTGATTGAGTTTAAACTATGTCAAGTGTGAGCACAGCTTCTATACATATACCCCTACAAGCTAACCAATCTTATTCACAAAGTCATGACTTAGCTTTAGGCTTAGTATGATGCATATATATGGTTAGGGTTTAGTTTGTAAAATATCTTTTAAATACCAAATATTCAAAAGAGAATGTAAATAAAAATAAATAATGAATTTTCACTTTCTTTTATTTCACAAATTCGATTTTTTTTATTGGAACAAGAAGCTTGCCATGTGTTGTTTAGGTATATTTAAAGTTTAGGTGAGAACGATCATTAGCAATATTATACATTTATTTTGATTGAAAGGTATGTGACACAAAAAAAAAAAAAAAAAACATGTGCGTAGGGCTAGTTATTGTCTTTTTGCACTCACCTCCCTATTTTCTTTCTAAATCATTAAATTCACATAATGCATTTAATATAAAAATATAAAAATCCTACAAATATATAGTCACTAATTGTTTAAGTTTACTACCTTCTTTGTGTATAAATTAACAATTTGCCACTTCAATCAGGGATTTTTTTTTATCTTGAAAAATTACTCAGCATCGTTATTTATTAAAGTAATAAAATTTGCTTTCTATTTTCCCCCTAAAATCAAGAAATTCAAGAATTCAAAATAAATCAATTTCAAATGGTTTATAATTTTCAGATTAAAGGACACAATTATTACAAATTAACGTGTGTATGCACTATTTGTAAGAACTAAAATAAGATTAAACTTAATTGAGATTCAACAGCTAAATTATTTTACACTCGAAAAATTCAAAACCTTTGTTTGCCGACTCATTATATAATTAAGTTAATGAAGAAAAAACATTCTAACTTCTAAGTGATAATAATTTATACATGGGTTTAAATGGTGAAAACACATTATTGGGTGGATTAATAAACGTAATTGACGGGGACAGAAAACAGTTACTTCCACATATATAATCTCATGATACTGCTCAAAATATTTAATTTCCATCAACATCTATCTTCCATTTCTGCAAGTGGGTCAAGGTGTTTTCTTCAAAAAATAAAGTCAACTAGGGTTTCATGTTTGTTTGGACTAAGAATAAACAAAAGCAGTACGCGAGGTAGACGACAACCATCACCAACATAAGTATTCTAATGGAGAGAGCCTTATTCGTCAAAACATAATCACTATGTCAAGCCTCTGTATTCTCCTGTATTCATTTTGTACTTTGAATTTAAATTGAAAATAAAAAATTTTCTTTTTTTTAAATGGCCCATAATCATGCTTTGGTCATTTCAAAACCACCATCTTTTAGAATATAGAAATCATTTTCTTATATGAAATTATTTGAGTTGAAAAGAAACAAGCTAAATTCATTAGACATCATTATTTGATACAGTATTTTCAAGAAGGATTATTTAATAAATGAATGAAAGTTTTGGAAGCTCAATTAATTAATGAGCATAATAGGCATAGTGCCATGGTAACTTAAAAGAGCAATATTGTATTCAAATGTTCAATTAGTTCAACAACATTATCATGTATATAATTAGATTATTAGATGCTGTTTTAATCTGGAAACGCCCGTTAAAAGTTTCCAATTAGTGTTTTACAATGAACATGATATATTTTCTTCTACCACTTCCGTTTTTTAATATAAGATTTAGGTTACTAATTTAGATGTATAACTACAATAAGTATTACTTTGAAAAAATAGATAAATATAATAAATAAAAAAGAGTGAGATTTTATATTTAAAACTAAAATAAATATTTAACTAACTCTTATATTAAGGATAAGAGGTTGTATGTTTTAACCTTGCTTTTCCAAAATGAAATGATTTGGATTTTGTTTCCCATGCAATTAATGTCGTACTCAAACCTACCAGACTACCCTACCGTGATTCATCATTCTTGTGCTTATTATATGCTTATATGTCTAGTTACATTACATGATGCATCATCAAGAGATGTATTTGTGTGTGACAGAGTGATTATGTAAATATTTTTCGTAAAGCATAAAAATAATTATTTTTTTATGGGATGCTAAGAAGGATAGTAAAAATTGTACCGTGTGTATAAACTTTCATCATACCCTAAATCAATATGACGAGATAAAAAAATGAATTTTGAAAGGATAAAGCAAACATTGACCTTGTTTTGTGATCTGCTTGTGTTATTAAATCCATTTCATTGGGCATTATACAGTGTTTCTTGTTCTTTCATTTTTTGTGCAGTGAAAGAGGTCTCATGAAATAGGGGTGGATCCTATTTGGGCTCCTTGTGGCCCAATATATCCCAAAAGTAAGAAAGCAAAAATTGAAAGGATCACAAGGAGCATTTATGCTGCCGTGTTTATTGTCCTTCCAGACTCTTATCAATCTCACTAAATATACTTAAATGCGTTGGGTGAGAATAAATGTTACTTATTGAGATTTGTTTTCTCATTCATTCGTTCTGAATCATCATAGGATCTTCCATCATTTAAGGAAGAAATCAATTTTGTTGCCAGAGAATTTTTTTAAAATTTTTTTTATGATTTTTTTATTTTCCTAAAGGATATAAAATGAATAATGGCGAAAGAGTAGGAGGCTAGGGTTAGGCAGTCCAATTTATATAGAGGAACAGAGAATTGGGCTAGAAGTGAAGTTAAGACTAAACTTTATGGTCCCAAAACCCAAATACAAGTGGGCGAAATAATGGTCCTCACAAACCCAGTCTCATTCAAGTCTGGATTATCTGTAAGTAGTTGTGGGATTTATAATACATTTCAAAGTACAATTCATTAATAATGGTCACTTTAGGTATTGTTAAAAAATTAGTAATTCTTTTTACAACTTTACGTATTTTTAAGATATTATAGCAAATAAATATATATAAAATAATGAGTGCGAGAGGATGAGTAAAAAAAAGTGATAAGATGAGAGAGAATGAGTGTGAAAAATGGATGAGAGACATGTAATTAATTGGAAATAAAAAAAAATGTGCACTAAATTTTTAGACAAATACAAAATCAATCATATGTTAGAAGTCGTTGGTAAAAAAAAAAAAATCATATGAGAGAAAATGTTGCTTATATTCCCTCATGTTTACAATACAAGTCACTTCGACTAATTCATCAGTATCAATAATTGATAGTTAACTTATTAAATATGTTTCTAATTGAATTTTTTTAAACTTCACACGTATTAAATAAGGTTGTAAAAGGAGGAGAAAAATACAATAAGTTACATTTAAGTATTAATTGTATGGACAAATAAATATTATGGATCGAGTGAGTATACTGAACCGTAAGAAGTATAGTTTGTAGACATTAAATATAAGGCTATAAAGAGAATAAAAAAAATACGGATAGTTACATTTAAGCATTAAACTTTTTTTTTTTGAAGAAGCGGCTTATATTGTGGAGAGTCAGTATACTGAGCTAATTTATAAGAATTATGAAACCTAGTATTACCTCCAGTTCTAATTATAAGAGCTAGTTGACTAGTTTGAGAAGATTAAAGAAATAAGTTAAGCTAGTTATTTGTAATAAATAGGTATTGTTTTTCTCAAAATATCCTTACTAATCAAGTGTATTAGATAGAATTACTATTGTTAGAAAGACTATCTTGGAAAAAAATGCACAAATATGATAGACAAAGTGGATTGATATCTTATATTTAGGACCAAAATAAAAGTCAAATAAGATCTTATATTATGGGCCGGAGGTAGTATTTAGTTTAAGTAGTATCTATATATTCTTTTCTATAATTATCCTTAAAATTAATGAGAGCATCTTCTGTGAATTAGAGGAAATAACAATAAGGCCGAAGCAGGAAAGCTTGGAGTCTCTTCCACTTGCTGTTAATTAACAATCGTCCATTTTCCCACACAATCCCACTTACATCACTCTCTCTGGCCCACTTCCCTTCTCTCATCTTTCCCTTTCTCAGGAGTTCAATAGTTAGCCTTTTATTTGCTTCCTTGCAATGCTTCCCAGTCCAACACCTTAAACGCACTGTTCTCTCAACTACTTCCTACGTCTCGGGGAGGAGCAAACAAACAATGACATATTGAAAATTTTATATTCACCCTTACTGTTTGGTATATGCCAAGTATTCTCTAAAAATTATTCCAAGTATTTGATGCAAAAACGACACAAAACGAAGCCAAGAAATGAGTCTCTTAGTTTAGGAATTAGGAGTTTTTGTTTTGCCTTGCTAGTAAATTATGGTGTATCTGAAAGCCTTGATCTTAACTTGGACATGTTTTTTGAAGTCTAGGGTGTTTGGTATCAAGTAAAAACACTTAAAAGAGTGTTTTCATACAAGGCGAAACAAAACTTTTCTCATATATTTATTTTATATACTATAAAATCACTTTTAAAACTATGGTTTAGTTTCTATTTAAACACTAATGAACATTTTGGACTGGAATAGCATCCAATAAGTTTCCAAGTCCTAAACTTTTTCGTGGCTGTGAGCTTACTCTTATAAAAGCATCAGGTGAGAGTGAGACTCTGATATGTCTGCACTGCACCTAGTTCGCCAAAACACTTCCTTCCGTCGTAATTATAGAGCAAATATATTTGAAACTTTGTTTGGTCCTAAACAAAGCGTAAAAGGGGGATAAAGCTACGTTTTAAAGCCCTGCTTTTTTCTGATCTTGCACCGGCTTAATTACAATAAGTTGCTGCCCTACTTTTAATTGTTATACACTTCATTATGGTTACAAATTTTAGTGAAGAGAAAATTGTAATGTCACATTTTTATTACAAATATAAGATATCAACCATCACTTATTAAGAATTATGAAGTTCGTTAAGTCTGCTCTATAATTGGAATTGGAAGGAGTATTATCACATTATGTTTTTGAATAGATGGGTTACTTTTCATGGGGTACGTGGCATTTTTGTCAAAAGATTGTTTTTTATGGCATTTGGGCATCAATATTTCCAGATTTACTATCCCACACACAACAAAAGTAGTAGCAAATCTCGTGTATGTGCATATGAGATAGAAAGTCTTATTGTAGTTTTAAATCTAATTCTAACGCTTTTAGCTTGATTTGTGAATGATTTGTAGAGATTAATGTGTAAAAAAGTCAAGGATTTAAGAATTTGCTACATTATTTTTTATTAAAAAAATAATAGATAGATTAACATGTCAGCGTCTGGAATCTTAAATTATAAAAATGCCAATTGGTGGCTATAAAAAACTTTCCAATTGGTCAGCAACTATCTATATATATTTTTACAAGAGCCAACAACAATATTTTAACTTAGTAGGAACATACTTGCTTTAACTCGACATTTTGATCCCTCACCACTAATTCACATCTTAATTTGCTTGAGCAATAAACTTTATGGTGCTACCATAGGATACCGATACACTTTTAATTAAGTCATTAGAATATTATCCAACACTTCTGGTAAGGTCACTTATCACTATTTCACAGAAAAACGACAAAAGGGCCACTTATGGCTTTGCATCTTTTATAATTCAATCACAACCACCTGTACTTCTGAAATTAGTAATTAGTTCTTCCTTTTCCATCACAGTTAAGCTCCTTTTACCCAAATTAAGTTATTTCTTCTGGTGGCATAGTTTACAGATATGCTTCTGTTTTAAAATGTGTCATTGTTCGATTCTTTTAATTAATATTCTGATGATCTGATTTAACCATAGATAGAACGGTCCATTCAATTCAATTTATTGTGATTCCGGCTGTCTGCCAAAATTTTCGGAGATAACTTATCTCATTTATGTCTCTTTGTCACGTTACGGTGAATAATCCTACCTATTCATTGCTCTATTTCATGCACTGTTTTTGTGCGCAAATGTTTACCTTCTTCCATCTCTAATAATCTCGACGTTACGCACTATGAGTGATGAATACACATGACACAACTTAACCACATGTATGTACTGTATAATTCTGCCTACTCAACTAGTAATTCACGAGTTGCATTAAGAAAATGAAAAAAGAAATTACAATGAGATCAATAAAAAAAAACAAAATAAGTCTTAAAAGTTGTTATTTCCTATTTTGAAACTTGTCATTATAAATTATTTAAGTTGTTGTTGAGATTTTTTAGTAATTATTTTTCTTATTTGGGACTTTATTATAATTCTTTCAAAATTAAATACATTAATTATTATTTTCTATAAATGCCGATAATAATATTTTTTTTAAATATAATACTTTTTTTTTTCGCGACGCAATATGAGACTTTATCCAAATTTAGCTGGTGGCGTTACTCTTGAAACAACTAACCATTGGGAATTATTGTCTACAGAAGTATGAAATATTTTTCCTTTTTTTTTTTAACCAGCAGTGTGAAATATTTTTCTTTAGAACTTGACTTTTAAGTAATTTACATTGAAATGTTATTAATATAACTTTTATATAACATAAAACCTAATTTTTAATTATGAGAATAGTTTTAAAAAATAATAAATATAAAAGATAAAAAGCATTGAAATCTTACGTTAAGTTTTATTTATTTTAGAGACGGGGAGTATTTTTTTTTCCCCGAACACCCCACCTGCTCTTTAAATTGAAATTAAAAAATTGGGGTTCAAAATTTGAATTAAGGAAGACGAATCATAACTTGTATTTTTCAAATATGATAGATATCATAGTCAATATTCTCTTCTATGATCCACACGCTATTATTTCACGCTTGGGTTGGTTTGAGAAAATTGGGAAAGGCCTGAAATTTATTCCCATTTCTTTGACCGATCTTTATCTCTCCCTAATTGGAAGTTCTTTGGGAATCGTCCTCAGATCTTGTTGCAGGAACAGTAGCAGAACAAGGTAAAGAAGTATAGAATCATCTTCATTATCATTTATTATGGGTCAGCGAGAAAGTTTTCAGGAATATCGCTGGGATGATGATACGGAAAACAAACTGATAGAGAGAAAATAAAAAGATCTCTTCTCTTCTAAACTAAGGAAGACAGTATAGTCTCAGAAGCCCATTTTTGGCGTATTAGCTCAGACAGAAAAGATGATATAACAAGAAGCCCTTTTAGTAGGTATAGCTTTTAATGGCTCTTCTGTTCACTAGTACATTTCCACAGTGAAAACAGAGCGTACCAACAAGTAATGAGAGTGAAAATTTAGCTGAGAGCCTTCTTTTTTAGTTTGAAAAGTAAGATTTTGCAGAGAGAGATTCAATGGTTTATACTTTATAGTTGCACCCAGTGAGAGATTTGAACCAGGAAAGAAACCCGGTAAACTGAAAGAAGCTCACGAGATTGTCAGTGGGTATCTTTCATTTGTAGTACACGTTGCTCCAGAAAGTTAGAGAGAGAGAAGAGGAGAAGAAAGGTAGAAACTTTTGCAATTGATAAGAATTGGCTCTGTGCTTTTTGTATGTACTGATGTATGATATTGGAGGGAGAAGTAGTGGGAGGGGAATTCGGCGCTCTTTCGCTTTTTTTGAATTTGAGAAGTTCTCTCTCTTTCTCACTCGCTATAGCTTTTTTTCCCGTCTTTGATTATTTATTACCTCATTTTTTCGTAGCATTTTATCTTCATGCTTTGTTTGTAAATTCTTGTCTGTTTACTAAAGAGGAGAGAGCTTTTGAAGGTTTTTTTGTCTGCATATTTTAAAGTCGGGGATTTTGAGGGTTCGAGCTCTCTGTAGTCTGTTTAACTTTCTGTGACCTCTTTTTGTCTTGTAATGCAGTTCTTCACGAGGTGCTGTCAGAATGTTTATTTTTCATGAAAAGTTTCGATTTTTATAATTTTTTAAAGTTTTCTTTTAATATTTTGATTGATGCTTATATTCTGATACTGTTTATTAATCCTTTCCTCCATCATCCATCCATTCCACCCTCTGCTCTCATTGCTTCTCTGCTTGCAACCTGTAAAGATTCTGCTTGATTTATCAGAGACCCCTTTCTTGCACTAAACTCCACCTCTTTGTCCCCTTCATCTTTCAAACATTTGTACCTATAACATTTGTGTCCTCTCTCCATATTCCGCCTCTTCATCTTCGTTCATGCGAGAGAAATACAAAAACCCATATATCTGATTGTGTTTTATTGACTTGCCATTTTCTCTGTCTCTCCCTCTCTAGATCGTGTTTCAGAAGTTTTAGGGGAGAGAAGGTGAGAAACCATGGGGAAGGCTTCTAGGTGGTTGAAGGGCTTGCTGGGGATGAAGAAAGAGAAGGACCACCGCATGGACAATTCTGGCTCATTGGTTTCTGACAAGAAGGAAAAGAAACGATGGAGTTTTGCCAAGTCAGGCAAAGATTCCGATTCTGGAACCAGTCAACCTCGTTTTCCATCTCCTGATTCCGCTCGGTATAAATCCTACATGTCGGAAACAGAGAAAGAGCAGAACAAGCACGCAATTGCGGTGGCCGCTGCAACGGCCGCTGCAGCCGATGCTGCTGTCGCCGCCGCTCAGGCTGCCGTTGCGGTGGTAAGGCTCACCAGCCACGGCAGAGGGACTCTGTTTAGTGGGAGTAGAGAAAAATGGGCTGCGGTTAAGATTCAAACCTTTTTCAGAGGCTATTTGGTACGTGTGTTGCATGAATCATCATATGTCTCTCTTGAAATATTCAAAATGTCATTCTTAGTTTCTCTTTTCTGCCATGAGTATGTCTTTGTCGATATAAGTGAAAAAAATGCTTTGCTTCATTCTTACTCAAGCTGGGAACGTAGTTTCAGACTCCTAATAAAACAGTGTCTTCCCATTCCTGGGTTTTATGTTTTCTTAAAATTCCAAACTTTCAAACTCTTTCTCGATGACGCAACCCTGTATGTCGTGTTACTTTCTTTCTTCCTCCTCTGGTTTAACAGTTAAATTCAAATATGCAATTTTTTTTTTCAGGCGAGGAAGGCTCTAAGAGCTTTGAAAGGATTGGTTAAGATTCAAGCGCTTGTTCGCGGTTATCTTGTTCGAAAGCGAGCTACTGCAACTCTATACAGCATGCAAGCTCTGATCAGAGCTCAAACTGCAGTTCGATCACAGAGAGCTCGTCGTTCCATTAGCAAAGGAAATCGACACCAGTCCGAGTTCCGAGCTAGAAAATCAATGGTGAGGACCCACACTTATAGTAGCAGCACTTCCGTTTCAGACGCATCCCGAAATAACCATGCTTTTTGAATCTAAGTTTTGAGGTTTTCTTTCTGTAGGATCGATTTGATGAAACGAGAAGTGAAATCCACAGTAAAAGGTTATCCACATCATATGAACAATCCTTCAATGGGTATGACGACAGTCCCAAAATTGTCGAGATTGATACGTACAGGACTCAGTCGAGGTCTCGGAGAATTGCGACGACGTTTTCAGAATGTGGAGACGAAACACCTTATCAAACGACGCCGTTTTCCGACAGTAAGCATCATGAAGAGTTCCAGTGGTGCTTTGCCGGCGATGAGTGCAAATTCCCTACGGCTCAGAGCACTCCCCGGTTTGCAGTCAGCGCGCGTTCTCACAACGCGCCTCCGACTCCGGCAAAGAGTGTCTGCGGCGACACATTTTGCCGGCCGTACTATAATTTCCCGAACTACATGGCGAATACGCAGTCGTTTAAGGCGAAACTGAGGTCTCATAGTGCTCCGAAACAGAGACCAGAGCCGAAGAAGAGGCTCTCGCTGGATGAAATAATGGCGGCCAGAAACAGCATAAGCAGTGTTAGAATGCAGAGGTCGTCTTGTTCGGTTCAAGAAGAGTCGTGGAATTTCTGAGTTCTTTGCAACTTTCTTTCTTCCTTTCTTCCCCCTCCCCTCTTTGCTTGTGTTAATTACAATTTACAATTCTCACAGAGAACCTTATAGAATTGATCAAAGAATCTGCTTGCTTATGTACATTCTCTTGACAGACTTTTCTTTTACTTCTAGTAAACTCTCTCGTTTGCTTAGAAATTTGCTCCTTAGTTTGGGGTTTGAAAGATGGCATGTGTGTGTGTGTATATGATTTGTTACTGAGATATGAGATGCGTAATACTGGTTGCTGTGACTCATTTAGAATGCTGTGAAGACTAAAGGTTAAAAGAATTCATGATTGCTCTGTTTTTAGTTCAAACAAGAGGGAAGAGAGCGCAGTGTAGCTTTTTATGGCAGCTTCCAAACAACATGATTTTGCCAATTGGCAAATAAGCAGTTTCATATAATGGCAGTGGCGGGAAAGTCTGTGTAATGCAGACCAGAAGCGAAGGAAAAAGAAAAGTTCGTCTTTTTTTTTTTTTTGGTTGAAAATTTGGTATCCAACAGCAGTTAGGTTGGTTTGGCAGGGAAACTTTTCCAGGTGGTAAAAATTTGAAATCCAAACTAAATTGGGTTCCAGGTAAAAGGGGTAGGGTGAGTGAGGAGAATATAGACAGCTAATTAGGTGCAGACATGGCAGGGGGATTACAGGTTAAGATTTTGGAGGTTATGATGAAAAAATTGAATTTTTTTTTTCTTTCAGCACATATAAGCTGGAACAAGAATCGAATCTCTAGGAATGCCTGAAAAACGGTACAATCACAACTGGTCTATGACAGTGACACTGTTGCAAGTCTGGGCATTTTTCTTGTCTTCTTTTTCCTCCCTCTCATGTTGGCTGATTTTCTCATCAAGATCATTTTTTTAAAATAAATTTTTTTCATGTTTTCTATCAGTTTACACAGAGGCAGGGTCTTGATTCGAGTTTCAATTATGAGTATTTGGTTTGTCGTCATTGATGGGGGCCTCGTGATGAAGGGTCTCTGTAGTTCCAACTTGGGTTTTAACCTGATAGTGCCATTACCCTAACTTGAATAGTTCAAAATAGGTTACATCTCAAATCAAAGATGCAGCATTTGGTAAGAAATAATAATACCAGATTGCTCAGTTTAGTGACATAAACACTCTTATAAATAGGAAGTCCCAGGTTGCCGGGTTCGAACCCGATGTAATAATCTCGGACTACTAATGTTAAGAGATGTGGAGAGTGGACTGCACGCGCTGGAGGAAAGCGTTGGGGAATCAAATTGGGTAGGAGCAATGATTAGGGTTTTATTTTGGGGAAAAACAGTGAAAAGACTAAAGGGACATTGTGAAATTCTGAAAATCGGTGTGGGATTTTGGGCTGCATCACCGTGGGGTGCCCCACTTGGCCTCAGGGGTAATTTAGGTAATATGTCTATTTCTTTGACCGAATAATTGTGGCCTCATCCATACATCATCTTGGATATTTCGTGCAGAGTGCCCACCCATCCCCTCTCTCTCTTTTCCATGCTAAATTATTCTTTGTCCTGATAATTACCCTTTTTTGTTCTAATATTGATTAATTATTTCAATTTAAAAATGATCACTAAGTAGGAAAGAAAACAAAATACAAACTTCAAATTTTTTTATGTTAGTATGAATAAAATCATAGATTTATTTATTTTCAGATAAAATTAATTACTTAAACATTTCTACCACATTTGTGGTTAAGGATAATTGATTTCAACTAATTTTTAGTTAAATTTTTATCGTTTTTATTAGGTGCTTATACTTTTTACATTTTTTATAAGTTGAAGTATCTTTAAATTATTTTGAGTTTGACACTAATTTCTCTTAAATTGAGATTATTAACGTTAAAACCTTCTCAATAAGTATGCTTTTTAGGATTCTTATTTTTTTTAATTAAGTTCTTTTTTTAACTTTTATCAAATCTTTATAGTTTACTTGACATAGATAAACTTATTTTTATTTTTACTTTTTTATACACTTGTCTATTGTTTTTTTATCCGAAATAATTTAAAATTTTTGTTTTTATTAATTTTTTTTACATTTACAAATCATTATTTCATATATCTTTCTTTCTTTTGAATCAGAATTAAATAAAGGTAAAATTAAAAAAAACAAGTATTAAATATTGTACAAATTACTTACATTTAGAACTAAAACCTTTTTCTACAAATGACTTATATTTAATATTATGGTTATATACATACAACAACATACTTATGTTTAGAATCTTTCAGCCTGAGGACCAAATAATAAACAATATTTGAACTTATCAAATACAAGTATAAAATAAAAAATAATTGAAAAATTTGAAGGTAAAGTTTAGGATTGTTTGAAGTCTTAGGGAGGAAGGAAGAGACGTTAAGAAGAGGCCAAATAGGGATTAAAGTAATAAGAGCAACCTTAAATTAATTAATTAATATAAAAACCATTATCGCAGTTAAGCATAAGATTCAAATAGTGATAATTAAAATAATAAGGGACTTGTCAGAAAGCACTTTGTTCAAGAAAATGGTGTCCCTAATTGCTGTTTGATTGAGCGGCTTGCGCAGCTGCTTTCGTCATTTGTTTCAGTTTTTCAGAAAACATAAACAAAACATATTAATCTGTTATTTAACTTAGGAACATGTTACCCCTAATGTTAGTTTATTACCATTATGAATCTAATCTTCATTAATTAATCCAAATCAAATCTAACAAAACAATATTACTGTCTCCAGCTTCCAATGTTTGTGGCTTTTGAATTTTGAAGAGCAGCAAGCATCTGTTTGGATTATTAGGTCTCAATCTTTGCCTTTCCCACATTTTACTCAAATCCGAATATTCTAACAACATTACCAATAAAACTTTCTTCCTTTTTTTCTTGCCAACACCATGTAAAAAGAGTTTTTATGCTTTTTGAGCAGCATCAGATTCGTCATATTTGTCAATTTATGAGTTGGAATCTCTTTCTAGTGATTATGTCCAAAAGGTTGTCATGAAAAGAAGTTTTTATAAAAGTGAAGCTCGTATTGAGAAAGGAAAGGCTTTTCAAACTCCGTTTTGTTCCCTTAATTAAGGTTCAAAGACTGATATTTTATGTTATTGGTTAGCGAGTGCTTTGTTTAACTTGAAACAATGTTTATGCTCCTCAGACAAGTGTGTTTGATTTTACATCAAAAACCATTGCTTCTACAAAATTTTTTGACGTTTTTATCATGAAATTAGCAAGTGTCCTCAGTTAGCATGAGGTTTTGTTAATTTAACTTTAACCATTAAGTACCAATTATTATGCAATTGTATTGAAAATAGTCATTATAAGAATTCCAATCTCTTTTTTTTAATTATGAACAATTTAAATCCACATATATAACCATATTAATGTCAGGCTAAAACCCATAGTTTTAATAAAGTAGAGTAGAGGGGTTGTCGCTATTGGCTGTTGAAAAGTAATTCATAGATACAAGGTGGTTTTGATAATGAGAGTGTTAAAACTAACAAGTTGTTAATTGAAATAATAAATAATTTTATTTAAATTTTAAGAAGTATATTTATTGAGAGAGTTTTAATTTTAATATTCTCTGCCTGATAAAAATTAGATGAGTTAAGAATATTTTGAGTTATAAAAAAAAAGAGAGGATCAAATGTTATGAGTTTTGAAATATTAATATTTTTCTTAAAATTTTATAGAATTCAGACATTCCATAAGTGAGGTTCATCCCCTAGGACACAAATGAAAGAGAAAAGGGCATAGTTTACGAACTTCAAAACTTACTTCTTTTCACCTCTGATAAAGTGTCGATTTTGAATCTAAACAGCTTGCGTGGACCCATTAAATTGGGTTTGAGCTTGCTGGAAAGGCCTTTGAAGTTAGTACTAAATCTACTTTAATCATCTCCAGAAAACTAAACAAAAAAATAAAAAAAAGGTAAAAAAGATAAGATTTGCAGACCCTTTTCCCTCTTTAATCTTTTTCTTCATGTGACATTATCCAAAACTTCTGCCTTTTCGAGATTCATTAATTTGACCAAGATAACATTTGGAACAGTGGGGTAAAAAAAAGAAAAGAAAAGAAAAAGATTCCCCAATGTACTTTATCTATTTTCAGCCCAAAAGTAAAAAGTATATTACTATGTACTGTACTCACGTATTTGTACTTTGTTAAGTTTTGAAGGAATTTGATTGCATGTTATGTCTTTTAGCAGCAAAAGGAAGTTACTGGGCAAGTGGGTGGGTAAAAAAAAGAGGATAAAATTATGGATATTTCAAGTTGGTGTAAAAAAGGGGATAATGCATGTTTGGTAGCTGGGAAACAAGAACTCAGGAAATTATTGAATAGGAAGCAGAACGCTGCCAACAAAATTTGAAAACTTCTGCAGATTTATTCATTTGCATGCATACATAATGACAATAACGATGATGATGATGAGCCCTGAGCCACGAGTATGGATCATTATCATACACGGCACATTGAATGTTTCAGATTTTGAACTACGAAAACTTGAATTTGCGCCATGTGAAGTGAAACATAATAATTAAAGCCATTCTGCAGAAGTTTTAAAAACTTAAGACAGAAGAATACTTTGATTTGAAATTTTGAAGTGTTTGGCCATGTTTCTAAGAACATTGCTGATTCTAAATAGCTGCAGGAACAGCTGTTTTACTACTAGTAGTTTTCCAGAGGAATATTAAATAGTTTTTTTTCCCCCTAGAAGCCCAAAAATTAGAGATAATTTGGTATTAATGAAAGGACTTATGGTTGCTTAAGGAGAAGATCTGAGATTCAGGTTTTTATATATATATATATATATATATACCGTGAATTAAACTCTAATTACAAATTCATTTTAGTCGAGAAATTAAACGTATGAACTTCCATTTTTATGTAATTCATCAACATAAAAATATACTACCTCCGGTCCTAATTAATTAATATAAGGAGATTAAGAAAAAAAAAAGTTAGTTATTTGTAATAAACAGGTGTTATTTTTTTTATAAAATATCCTTGCTAATCAAATATATTAGTTAGAACTATCATTACTAGAAAGACTGATGTTTTGACTGCACAAACACATAATATGGGGATTGATTTTGCTCCGTTTTGTATTCCCCCAGATCCCATACTAGACATTCTCAAACGAGAACCTCACCAGAATCCTGTTTTAGTGGATGCTTATATGTAGTAGTTC